ACCTTGATAATCACCCTGCAGTCGGTACTCATCGGAGGTTGTCCTTTGTCTGTGGCGTGTACATCTAGTTTATAAACATCCACCGTCTCAAAGTCAATGTCGCCTTTTACTCGAATTTCACCAGTGTTTTTATCCAAGCTAAACATTTCATAAATCTTTCGGTCAAGTTGACCACCGAAAACGTACTCTATTTCTCCGTTTGAACTGTCGTCCAAATCAGTTGCATTTACGGTAATTACACATGTATTCACCTCTACATTTTCGTGTATTGTTACTGAATACACTTCTTGACTAAATGTAGGGTTATTGTCATTTGAATCGAGGACTATGACTGTGACATTAAGAGTCCCTGATCTCGGTGGATTTCCGCCGTCAATTGCTGTCAGGATCAGTTTGTGTTTATTTTCCTTTTCTCGATCCAAAGCCTTCTGTAAAACTAAGAATGGTATCTTGTCCTCTCCCCTCTCTCGAATTTGTAAACTAAAATGATCGTTATGGATCAATTTGTACATCCGTACAGTATTAGTAACAACATCTGGATCATGTGCAGCTGGCAACTGAAATCGTTTACCTGGGAAAGTAGACTCTGAAATCTCCAGTATGCTTTCTTCCTCTTGAAAGCTGGGTGAATTATCATTTACGTCTATGATTTCCACTCCTACATAATGTACTTCCATGGGATTCTCAGCTACCATTTTAAGGTTTATCAGACAAGGAGAAATGCTTTTGCATAGCTCTTCTCTGTCAATGTTCTCTTGCACAGAGAGGACGCCATTTCTCGGATCTACTACAAAATGAGCATCTTCAGCTCCAGAGACAATACGAAACCGTCGTTCCTCTAGTGAACTGATATCCAGTCCCAGATCTTTTGCCACATTCCCAACAACACTTCCTACCATTACTTCCTCTGGAACTGAATATTTTATCTGAGCTGTAACCCGCTCCACACAGCTGAGCATCAGAGAAAAGCTGAGAGCAAGCCACCAGCACTGCGTTCCTCGTCTTTGTCCTCCTGCCTCCATCGTTTCGCTTTATGTTTCCAATTATATACCCACTTTAAAGCCCTTTGAGCAAAGGAAGTAGTTTAAATAACAAAATATCCAGTGCGAAATATGTAGCATATTCCAAACCAACCGATGTATTAATCACGGCTACACTTGTTTCTGTGGAAGGTACCGTCTCCTCTCTGTCGACCAGAACAAAAACTGTATGGAAGGGGCAGGGCCAGCACTAAAATCTACCAGTGTGATGCTGATATGACACTGACACCTTGTGGACTGAACACATGAGTATATGGGCATAAACAAAACTACCACATAAACTGCAACATCAGCCCGTCTGCAAATTGTCGCTTCGTGTCTAGAAAATTGTTTTAATTTTTGCTAGTAACGTATGTGTTTCAAAGTAATACATCCGAATGACAATTTACTTCTACGAATTAAAGGCAGCAAATTTTCAGTTTTTTTCTAAAGAGTATGTTGATAAGTTAACCCACTTCAAGGCTTTCATATCATCGTCCCTAATCGTATTAGTCAACATCATATTTGTATTAGTATATGCAAGTGTTGTATTTTTCTTTAGGTCAAAGCAATTTAGCTTCGTGTGCGATTATTTTCCTAAAAGAAAAAAGTGTGACTTTGACGAAATTGAATGATGATTGAGTGAAACGATGACAGGGTTTGAAGGCAATTAACAAAATTGTTCTAAGGAAAACAAATAAGAATCAACTACAAGGGACCTATGGATTTCTAATAAAAACAAACAAACAAACAAACAAACAAAAAAACAAACAAACTCATAGACGCCTAAATTAATATAGCTACTGAATCGTGTAATTTAATCCACAAATAAACACGCGACATTTTTAGTAAAAAAAAAA